TGAATGCCCCTTGCAATGCTGCATAAAGAAGTTCAGTGCGTACATTTTATGTCAACATCTCTTGTACTTTACCCTTGTGCGAACTCTCTGAAAAGATCCCCCCATACTTCGATAGGACGTCCCGGTTTGGGTCTGTTTTAAGTCTCTTGTGGGTTTCCTGCTGGTGTGGAAAGAGTATCTCTGTTCTGTGTCAAAAAATTAATAACTTCATCAGAAAATAGAATTCTATTGTCAAGCCACGAGTTATTTTCTTTAGAAACCCGGAAAACATGTGTTTACGTTCTTATAACGTTCTTGGCGAATGTTGTGGTTAGGTATGTCACAAAATAACGTTTACACAACGTTGTAGGAACGTGCAAACATTGTGAAATTATGTTCAGTATGTATTTATGGTTCTACAAAATAAAGTTTTCAAAACAAAACTGTAACGTTATTGTCACGTTAGCATAATGTAATATTGTTTGTTGGGAAGGTCGTTACTACTCGCGTAGTAGCTCACCTCTCCTTAAGTAGAAACAGGAAGCTTTTCAAAGTCTTGGATGTGTTTGAATAAAGTTTAAAACAATTGATGCCTAGATATAGGCCTGCTTGTAGATATCATCTTCATTATGATATATGATATTTGGATTATTAGACTACTCAAATTTTAATAAAGTATTCTAAACAGCAACAAAATATTAGAAGATTTGCTACTGTTAAATCACGAGCAGTTTGTCAATTTTTGAAGTGCTTTTCCCACGCTTTTCATGAACTGGTTGAGTAGACGCGCGTACATCCCTCTGATTTGCGGTTTGCTCTAATTAAATTGTGTCTCAAAATATACAAAAACAAGACTGATAAAAGTGCGTCTAGCTCGCAAAGTTGTAAAAAGTAGCAGCTAAATTTGGTACCATCATAAATCTAAGGCTATACTGAAGATGGTGATGTAAAAATTAAAGCATGAATTCACATGAACCTAAACTTTCTCTCCTACTTTTCTAAAAATAGATTTTTAAATATTTTTTCTGTCGTTTAAACATCGATTTATTATTAATGCAAGCTTCAAATTTAAACCAAAACATGTTTGTGTTCTCCAATTTATATACAAGAAACATGTGCATTTTGAAGTAATTCCGAATTTTCATTTAAAAAAAAAAACCTGTTTAGATACAATGTAGTCAATTATAGCATTTGAAATATTTATAGAGAAATTTCCGACATTTGTTGAAAAATACTACCCTTAAAATTCGTTTAAATATATAATATTTTCAGGATAGATTCACAAGGGTATACCCATCTTCAATCATGTGAAAAAAGTGTAAAACCCAAAAAATATACTCCTTAAGGTTTCATATGGTACTAAAATTTACTTATCAAGTAACATTTAAAATTCTCATTTTTTTTTCTGAATTTGCTGAAAATGCTCATAATGTAAAAATGGGGTCTGTGGTAAATGATAAATAATTACAGGTTATTGTATTCAGAGGAGATTGTATTTAAATTAATTAATTGAACGATCATTACATGAAAGTTGAAGTTTGACGACAATTCTACCAGATGAGCAGCGGCACTTCATGGTTAACACGAGAAGGGGCACTAGTCACTTTCAAGTACACTTCAAGTCCTTGGGTGCACTAATCCAGCGCATAAACTAGAGTGAATGGCAGGTGCAAATGAAAAGAGGGCATGTAAACCTTGAAGCCAAAGTGGTGCTGCTGAACAGGTAGAATCGTCATCAAATTTCACATCACGCAAGTAAGGCTCGTTTAATTTTGAATTCTACCATATCAGCAGCGCAGCAACGGCTACCATAAGACTTTTAAGCAAAAATGAACATCTTGTGACACAAAATCAACGTGAATTTGTGGCATGGAATCCAAAAACTGGCAATCGGTACCGACTTGCTTACCTCGCTGACATTTGCTTCCCGTGCACTATGGGCAGCAAACCTAGTAGTGTCTATTCTGGCTAGACCGAGCAACAATTTAATCCATCTACCTACAGTACCAGCTCCAATAATAGTCATAAATGGTTTAACATATAAAATTAAAGTTTGTAACTAATTGACTTCTCAATAAATGCGTACACTCCAAATAATTTTCAAATGCAGCGTAAACAATTCAATTCACTTTATTTGATATTCACCTTAAATAAAAGGGTAGGGTCAAAAACCAGGCACAATGCAAACAATGAAAATAAAAAAGGGAAAAAGAATACCAATATAAAAAGTTAATAACAAGAAAACAGGCGATGAAGACAGAACCAAATAATTTGATCCCCGTCTTTAGGTCGAAGCATCAAGAACAGTAAGCCTTTTAAATGCAGATGTAAAAAAACAATAACAGGTGTGATGACATCATATTCATCAGAAGCCATAATAAAAAGAATTTTTTCTACACTTGACATATGTTCGGAGTTTTCATAATAGGCCTATTTAAGTTCGGTGAATAGCTTGTTTCGTACATCATGGTAAATTGGGCAGCAAATTATAAAATAAAATTCATCTTTTTTAGGGGGAGGGAGAAAAATACCGGGGGAAAAGTGTTCGGGAGAAAATGTCCTGGGGTGGGGGAGCAATTGTAATTTCCACTGTTCTCAATAGTTATACAATTTGTTTATAGAATTATGTAAACCACTCTGATTTTCTGAAACAAAATGTCATCTGCATATATGAGACTGTTCAGTGGTTTTCCATTAACATTTACAGCGTTACATGAATCATCAAAAATGTAAGTTAAATCAGAAAGGAACATATTGAAGAAAAGGGGGCTGAGGAGACAATCTCATTTAACCACAACAGTAAAATCTTTGTTTGCTTTGTTACCATTCAGTTTAATTTAAGACGAAATAAAACCTTTGAATAAATAAACCAAGCAATTTACCACGAACCCCGATTCTATAATGTTTGAACATTAATCCATTTCTCCGCACAGTATTGAAAGCTGCCGAAAAATGAGTGAATGAAAAATAAAACAAATAAGGATATGAGTTTTCACTAATGCGGTTAATATATTTATCGAGAGTTGTTTTAAGAAATAAAATGTGGTCGCTTGTTCTCGCTCCTTTTTTTTTTAATTTGATTTTTTAGGAATTGATTGCTTTTTATCGGCTAGTGCAGTAAGTCTGTTGAGAAGTATGATGCAAAAAAGCTTACCATGCTGTTACTATCCCATTTACCAACAGATCCTTCAAAAAGGCATTTTTCTCTACTTAAGATTCATTATCACAGCAGGCATTGCTAATTATCAGTAAATTAACAGTATAGTATTTAAAAACCAGACTGGAAATTCATAAATGTTTTGCACTTTTATTACCTTAGTTGTAATTTAAAATAACAATTATAATGAATATGTTTTTGAATTTTAAAAATCAATAACTTATGTTAGAAGTTACAAAATAGTCTTTGATTTATTTGTGCTAGTATTTCTATAAAATATTCATATTTCATTAGCTTCCCTGTCAATCTTGTTACAAAATCCCCTGAAGCAGTAATTAATAGAGATAAGAAGAGATCAACAAAACCTTGTTCAACAATTGCAATTTTAGAATGGGGAAGTTTCCTCGAGAAAAATTACTTCCAACTGCAATCCTGAATAGTTTTGAGGTACCGATTTGTCTCTCCTTTTATGAATCACAGTAAGCGTGCTAGTTCTCCAAGCCGCTGCGAAGACGCCCTTTTTAAATTGTTAATGAATATACGCGTCGTGCATTTGATAATAAGTTGTCGTTTGAACTTGATTTTATCATTTCATTTTTTATACCGTCAATTCC